TTCTGGGAAAAAAAAAAAAAAAAGAAAAAAAAACTTGGAAACCTAAAATCGATTTTCGATGTATCCATCTGTTGGATATCAATCAACCAACTTCGTTTTATGTTTTTCTCTGACACGCGATAAGAAGAAATTTTAACGACGTTTAAAAAACGTACATCGTAAAAAGTGAATCTCTTCTTTCTTTTATTTCTTCTTCTTCTTCTTCTTATTATTATTCACGGCTACTATATTTTTCTTTGAAAAAAAAAAAAAAAACAAAAAAAAAAATAACAAAAAAATTCAACTCGAAAATAACACGCGCACCATGTTGATTTAAAAAACATTCTTTATTTCTATCTTTTTATTGGCCATCAAAACATTAATGACTGACTGCTTTTTAATAATATGAAATAAATATATGGAATGGAGAATGGCGATTCTTAGAATTGATTCCGTGTAGAAGGACAATAATATGTTAATGACTCTAAAGAAATTCTATTAAACAATTACAATCTGATATTTTATTACATGAAAAATTAATCCTTTCGTTATTACGGACCACTATAGTGACCCCTCCATAAAATACCGCGCGTATTTTACATACGACGAACATATGCAGTTATAACACTAAGTCAAATATCCCACTCTGGACGTGTAATTTTAGTGTTTTGTTTCTTTTGATTAAAAATCGTTAATATCAACAACAAAATTACTTAAAAAATGAAGTGCAAAGATGCTACACGTATTAGCAGTCCGTACAATAGAAGTAGCACCGCGAAAAATACGCACGTAGCGAAAGGGTTAAACTTCCAAGTCATCACTTTGCAGGAACGTTTAAAAAATTGTAAATATAAATAAAATACATTGAAGTATTCAAATAATTGTTAATTAATCGAAGGAAACGTGTATTGTTGTTTAAAATCACCTAGTATATGATCGGAGTACCGTCCTCTTCGAAATTCACCTTCGGACTAGCACATTGTCCCCTATGAAAATTCTTATATTCAATGTTGTTTATATGACTTTTCGAACACTATACACATGTGTATAACGGGTATATTATTTGTAACAAATAGAAATTAAGATAAAAACGTTCTAATTTGAGTACTTTTTGCATTCTTTGTTCATATGTTCAGTTGGAGATTCACTTATTGAATATAAGTTTATATATTATAATAGTTATTTTAAATATATGATCGAAATTGTTTAATATTCTAAGTATATTTATAGAGATATGTACTCTTTGTATTAAACTGATTTTAATGTATATTAAATTGATTTTTAATTGAGATTTTCTTTAAAACAAACTCTTACAGTAATGTTGGGGTTGTAAACAGTTCCGTTAAATTCTTTGGAAAGAAGTATGTAAATGGAAGTAGAAAAATGACGAGAAGCACGTAGCGATCTTTTATATGACGCCATATGTAGGTAGATGATGTGCGTGTGTGCCCGTGCACGCGCGCGCGTGCATGCGTGCGTTAATTCGTATCAAGAGAAAGTGATAAGATCTTATTCTTGATCAATAGTCACTTATTATCTTTCAAAGTATTTCTTTTTTTATTTAACACATATGAGCCATACGTTCAGTGCACACATCGATTGACAACTCCACTTTTTGAAAAATCTTAAATTTAAGTGTCCAAGCACTTGGTATAGTCATAATTTTTCTGAATAATAAAAATTAACACCATTAAACGGTAAAATTTTTGTTGGCCATTGAATAATAAATAATACAACAATATAAATTATTTCATCACATTTCTCAACTTTATGTTTTTTATGGAGTTAATCGATGTGTGTACTGAACGGCTCATATAACAAACGAACAATGTGTGTATTATAAATCCAACAAGTGGTAGAAAATAATTAGAAAAAATTTCAATAGGACATAGTAGATATATTTAATAATAGTAATAAACAAAAAAAAAAAAAAGAAAGAAAATCTATGATACTTTTGAAAAGAACGATAACGTAAAGGCCAATTAAAGCGGAACGAAGTTGTTAGTTAGTACGATGGAACTTGTAAAACGACATGGTATACTCTTTGGCTGGCTTATGGACTTTCATATGCTAGTACACTTTGCTTCGCAGAAAACGAGAAAGCTTTTATATATTATATATACCTTTTATACGTTCCTACGTATACCCATATACAGATGTGAGCGCCCACGCGCACACACAACACACACACAAACACACACGCACACACACGTACGCAATCCGCTTAAAATGCGATACTCCGAGAGAACATGGTTTCGATATAACATGGATGAAAAATTTCTCAAATATATTCCTACAACACGGTACTTGGAGAACACGGTTAACACATACAGAACACCTTATAAACGTTGCATAAACCGTTCGATACAAACCTATGCATACAATATTGCATAAAATAATGAAATGCTACTCTCTATGAACCCGATGATTTACGATCAACATTTATATACAAAATATCTAATTAAGGTGCAAAATAGTTCTATTACAATCTTAATCTAAGTTCTAATTTGTATCGGTCATTTTTCCTAACACGAATTCGTATACGATATATATATATATATATATATAGTAGGTCGGTTATGTGAGAAAACATTGAAATCAACTATTCATACTACTTGTAACGTAAAGCCAAAAGAGAGAGGGAGAGAGAGAGAGAGAGAGAGAGAAAATTGGTTTAATCTCGGAACTTGTAGGTCAGCAGTTCCCTGTGGTCCTACTTTTACATCGCAAATGGCGATCTCTGTGTATAAGATACATTATATATATATATATATATATATATATACACTTTATACTCTATACATATTACATACCAGATGGATAAAACACGTGATACGAAGGTAAGTTAACTTTATCGATTCTCTTGGAAATAATCGTGAAGTATGTCTTACTATTTCAAGTACATTTAATAATAGGGAATAGATCAAATGAAATATATTTAATAAATATCAAAATTATCTAAAGTAAATAATATATTTTTCTTTCCAAATAAGACAGGTACATTTTGTTTTACAGTTTGGGCCAAAAGTTTTCTAATCTAATAACTTTTTGGCTTATCCTATGTTATTTGTAGATAACTATGTAAATATACTTAATTAAATCGAAATACATAGTTACAGATATTTCATATAAACAGTTTAAAAAAGTATCAAGTGTTTTTTATCGGCTGTTATTAATCATAATCAAAATGTCTACCTAATAGATAAATGAAACATACATATATATATGTGAGATATCTTGCGATCTGTACATATTGCATATATGTACTTGTATAGATTATTATATACAATGTATATTTAATTAAATATGTTTCTCGATAACTTTCGAAACGTTTTAACGTCGAAATATACTTCAATAATTCGAGTTACGACAAGATGGCGAAACATAGCGATTAAGGTTCTGTGAAAGAGGAATGAAAGTGAAGGTACGTTTAAACTTTCTCGTTCGATATTTTGAAGAAAGAAAGAAAGGAAGAAAGAAAAGAAAGAAAGAAAGAAAGAAAGAAGAGAGAAGAAGAAAAGAAATTCGACGCGTTAATTAGTCGGTTAATTATAAATATCCGGTTGGACGGGGGAAAACGAGTTCTTCCATTTTTCTTTCTTTCTCTCTCTCTCTCTCTCTCTCTCTCTCTCTCTCTCTCTCTCTCTCTCTCTTCATAAAGCAAGTAACCAATGTAATTTCGTTTCTCCATTAAAAGCACGTAATTGGTATTTCGAAATGGACACTTATAGTAATGAACATTAAGATTAGGAGAAAATCGATATTAGTGTCGAATGAATCGAATTCTTTATTACAACTATCATCTAATCGATAAAGAAAGTTTAATAGGTGATTATTTTGGGTGTTAATAAGAGCGACATTAAAGAATGTTTGAAGAAAGAATAAAGGAAATAAATATGATTTTTATTGTTACACGTTTTTTCGACTCATTCAATGTACAAAGCAAAATAAAAGTCACTTTTTTCTAAATAATTCTAAACAACCTATTTGCACGGTTTAATTACCGATTTACATTATGACGGAATACAATGAAAAATTAGTGTCAAAGTTCTGCGAAAACTGACTGTTCTATCAACTGTTCCAAATCTTGTGCTTTCTGTGGGTTCTGGGAAAACTGACTTTTATCTCACCCTGTATAATATAATATATATATATATATATACATATGTAAGTATATAGATTATCATACGTTCTCATACATCGTAGCCCCGACCGATAAAGCGTGAAAATTTAAAAGGACGCGAAAAGCGAACACGAACGAGATCAATTTCAATAGACTGACTATAAAAAGAGGAAAAGCGCGATAGAAAGAGAAAGAGAAATAGAGAGAAAGAGAGAGAGATCCAAAGGGAATATGTCTATTCTCGAAAACGAGAACTCCCTGATAGCTTCGTACAAAAATACTTTTGTTCGAGCAAGAATGTTTGAAATGTTGGACCTTGAACCACTGGGTTATATCGAACCTTATCTATATTCGTTACATAGAATAATTATTCAATTAGTAAAAACTACAAACCTAAAACTTGTATAATTTAAAGTTAAAAATAATCTCTGAGAAAAGTGTAATAACATTTGGAAATGATTGTTCATTGGCCAATCCAAGATGCATAAATCTTAACAGGAATTCTAGGACACTGCGGCAGTAACGTGAGTCTTTTAACGTGTTAACAGTTTCTTCCAAAAGTTTTCTATTATTTTACTTGATTGTATCTCCGTCTCTCTTCCTCCTTTTTATTTAGTAATCCGTCCTACTTATCTTAAAAAGAGGCTACAAGAAGTTACTAGGACAGCTAATGACTAACATAAGAGGATGAGCTATATTGGTATAGAATTACCCATCGTCAAAGAAAAACGCAGTATTAAGGGTGAAAGTGTGCATGCCGATAAAAAAGAAAGAAAAATTAGATTCGAGAAGAATGCTAAGAAATAAAATAGAAATAGATAAGGAAATGAAAGTTAAGGGATTGATTATTCATGGTAAGAATAGCAGGTAGAGATAAAAGGAAAATACGATTACATACCTCGATTCGATCGGTGGTGTTCGTAGCCATTGGCAAGGTGTTCCTGAGAATCTCTGACGTCGAGGCCGTCGATGGCCTTGGTAAGGCCGTAACAAGAAACAGAACCGCATTTCCTGTCTTCGTCTACGATCGTTTCTTCGACGTTAACCTCGGTGTCACTCCCGTCACTTCCATCTTCGAAATAACCACTCTCGTGTTCGGGATTTTTCATTTTGTTAGACGCTCCTCTTCTCTTTAACATACTTTACTAATATTAAGTGGTATTTTTTTCTCTTTTAACTTTTCTTCTCCTCACTCTTTCTCTTGTTTTTGTTTTCTTCTCTTAACTCTTATCTCAATTTCTTTTCTCCAAGTCTGTTTTTGTTCTTACTCTCGGAGCTTTTTAATCTCTCGGATACGTCCGGGAGGGTGGGAGGGAGGGAGGGAGTGCGCGATAAAATCGAATAACCACTACTTTGCTCGTTGTAACGAATTAGTTGATTAATCGAATCATCCTTCTTCTTCTTCTTCTTTTACTCTTCGATTTGTTCTCCTCTTTAGTGGAAAGATGTATATACTTATGTGGAATGATTGGAGGTAAGTTTAAAAAATCAATGCCACATGATTCTTCTTCCTCTTGTTTTCTTTCATTAAGAAGATTATGGAATAATAAAAGTGAAGAAAATAATTCAAATAAAATAGGAAATAAGAAGAAGAAAATAAAGTCAACAACAACGTTTTCTCTTCTAAATATATCCTTATGTTGTGTTGTTCTTTTTCTTCAATATATTCGTACACGCGTTTAGTGTTATATTATTATTATTATTATTATTATTATTATTATTATTGTAAGTTGTTACTAACGTCACACCTCTCGTCGATTACGATCATGACGCAACAAGGTTGTTGTCTCTCTTTTTCTCGCGAAGAAACTCGCTCTTTTTTCGTCGTGACATCGACGTAGTGAATCTTCTTAACTCTTTCTTTTACTTATTTTTCTTCCTCACGATGAAATGGCAAAAATGTTAATAAGAGAAAAATAGAAAAAGAAACAACACGGAGAAGTCTCATACACGCGACGAGAAGAGAAGAGAAGTGAAGTGGGGAGGAAAGAAATAAATGGCGAATTGAAATTCGATTCTAGGTGGTGTCGTAACAAATTCTTTCGAGTTCCTTTCGAGTTTAGTTTACACCAACTAAATAGTAATAGTGGTTGTGGTGCTGCTGCTGCTGCTGGTGATGGTGGTAGTAGTAGTAGTTCGCCACCGACGTGTTCCAATTCCTTCGGACGTACTTTGCCGTTTAAATGGCACAACACGCGACGTTTAAATGAAATTTAAAAAGTGTCACTTCGTAAAGGATAAAAAAGGAATAGAAGGAAGAGGAGAAAGAGGACATCGAAGAGAGGACGTCCAAGTTGTGACCTGTGCTTTCGTTGTTATCCTACTGACACACTTTCCTTGCGATGCTCGTTGCGCCGCTGCTACAACGACGACGACGACGAAGACGACGACGACGACGACCGATCCAAGAGGACGTGCTGGAGGACAAGGTGGGGGCACGAGGAAAAGAAGGTGCCGTCGTACATGTGGGAGAGAGAGAGAGAGAGAAAAGAAGGAAAAAATGATGATGAAGAAGACGAGAATGAGGGGGCAGAGGGAGGAGGGCAAGAGATTATAACACTGTTGCAAGTACGCTTTTCGACCTTGGACCTTATTCTTCTCACTGATTTGTTCTATGTGTACACATTAAATCTTTTCTCCTCTTGAACTATTTCTTACTTCGAATAATCGAATATTTATTATGCTTTCCTTTCGTTCGATCTTCCCGTTGGTCTTCGGCATTTATTTTTAAACCAACAGATTTTTTTCTTTCTATCCTTTTTCTCCTGATTTAGTTCCGTTTAAGAATTTGGTTAGTTTACCTATTGCACATCACAGGTCTCTTATCTGAACTTTTCAAAGTTTGAACGGGTAATCTCTCTCTCTCTCTCTCTCTCTCTCTCTCTCTCTCTCTCTCTCTCTCTTTCGAACAAACCACAAAATTCTTCAAATATTTCTTTATTTTTTTCTTTATCTATCGTAGCAGGTTGTTAACACTTTCACTAACGCGATACCACGTACTGATGAATGTTAGGCTTACACGCGTACGCAAAATTTAGTACCAAGTTAACTCGATGTATGTTGTGTTAGAGTATTCGTATTTTACGTAGAGACAAAATAAAGAAAAAATAGCTACAAGGTGATGGATAAAAATGATGATCGATCGACAACGATAAGTAATAAGAAGAAAGGTAAGATATTAGAGGCACGCGCGAACGATCTAACACTATGCGTACCGAAGGAAGGCTCGTTGCCGACTGACTGACTGACTGACTGCTGCCGTCCTCTCTCCCCACCATCGAGCCGCCGACACTCGTCGAGTCACCCTTCACCGCTTCAAGCTAACAGCTGATTTGGAAAACACCGAGGTTCGCTTCAACCGCGTATCTATCTCTCGTCGCCCCCTCCCATATTTTTTTCATATAATACCATTAATGTTCCCTCACTCTCTATT